AAATGGCAACGTAAGATTTGTAAGGCGGTCGGCCTCTTATTTTATGGTAAGCCAACTAGAACCTTTGGACCTGCATCGCAGTTGGATTGGTGCAAGTGCTCAACATATTTACGTACGAATTTAGAGGATTTTGGCAAAAGCAACGGAAATTTTATGTCTTCTGGAAAGTCTGAGTGTTTTAAACGGCCTCCAACGCGCAGCAGAGATAAATTTCGGGTTTGTTCCGTGTGCTCTTGTATGAATGGGTTTAATCGTTGAATATTTGCCGGTGGATAGTTGCCTTTCCTCATTTGCTCGAGTATGTCCGCAAATTCAGATTTCTGAACGGTTTCCACTGTTTTTAAGAACGCCCAATTATATTCTTTGGCGGTTATATCTGTACCCCTTGTATTTATGAACGGCTTTATAAATCTGTAAATATGTGTTACAATTCGTACAATTTTGTTAAGAGTCAATTATTTTTAAAATTATTTTCTCTTGTACTGCAAGGTTTAGTATGGTTTTCGCCTTTTTTAGCTCTAATTTTGTGTTGGATTCGTCGAGCTCAAATTTTTTGTTTTGAGGCCAATTTCTCGATTCTTTTACCAGGAAACTTGGGCCTTCAACTCACAAAGGTTGCAGTAATTGGTCAATATCAGATCCGTGTGAGGCTAAGTCTGCAGGATTCTCTTTAGTCGGTACATGTCTCCAAACAACATTGACTGCGTTTTCCTGGATTTCAGCTACCCTATTTGCGACAAAAGTAGACAGAGTGGCCGGGTGCTTTTTCAACCAGTACAGCACTATTTCTGAATCAAGGCGATAACGGCAAACAAAATGACATATGGGTGTTTCCATGCAGCCGTACGCGACATTCGTACGCTTATGGAGTAACATAAATCTCTCAAAAATAGAAGTTACTGAAAAACAAGATTACGATTATGTTGCAACCCAAGGGTACTATGTTTGAGAAAAATATAAGCAGCCTCGAAACTTTGGTGTGGAAAATATCCGGTCAAAACAAGGCGATAACGTACGCGTCAATAAAAGAAGTGTTTTTAAAGCCTGGTTTTCATTAGGTCATATTTAACGTCAAATGTTGTCAAAATAATGAAAACAGGTTGTCATCTGGTGTCATTTGCGTTTGTTGTCATAAGTCACCACGCTCGGTCATATAAAATGACATCCAAATGAAAACGGCCCTCGCCGCTGATGTGGCAGCATTTGACAACCAAAATGTATTTGCCAACATGCTGGCAATTTTGATTTTGTTTGCCATGCGAACAGCTGATTCTAGCTACAATATGGACCGTTTAGCTACAAAAACAAACAAAAATGCAGATCGATAGAACTCCTCACGCTGATTTCACCCACACGCAAATTATCTGCGGCAAGCAAAAAACCCAAGAAAATATAACAGGTTAAACTTCACCTTTCCTAATTTTAATGTGTAATATCTCGGAAACTACTTGACCGATTAGAAAAGTATTGATGCCAATTCAAATATAATTGTAATGGTTTTTTTTACGACATGTTGACTATAACCATTTTTAAAACAAATTTTTTGGTAAACGCTATTAAAAAAAATATATATATATATACAACTTCGATTTTTACCACTACTTTCGTTAAATTTTGCACTATAACAAACCTTTCTATATAGCGTAATAACTTGTACTTTCTAAATAAAATAAATTTCTGTAGCATTAATTATGCAATTTTCTTCAAAAAAGGTAATTTACTAAAAAAAAAATTAAATTTTTTTGTTTTTTTTTTTGTATTTCTGACTTGAAAATGTAAATACTCAGGAAAATTATGTACATAAACTGAAAGATAAACGAAGCATCTCTATTTTGACATCATTAGTTGTCTAATCGAATGCGAAAGTCTGCGAATCAAGGGAGTTTTTCTTTTCTTTAAAAATTCCTAAACTAAGCTAAATAATGTACCTTTACAATCCTTCCATTTTTTAATAGAAACTATCTCTGGATAATTTTTATTAACAAAAAAAAACATATACCGTCGCCAACGCGTAAAGGCCCGTAAATCTTCCGCAAAATCTTTCTCTCAAACACTCCAAGAGCCCCCTCATCGGATGTTGTCATTGTCTATGCTTCTGCGTCATATACCAGCACGGGCATGATGAGTGACTTATAGAGCGTGGTTTTCGTACGTCGAGAGAGGAATTAAATACTGAATTGCCTACTCAGTCCAAAGTAGCACTTGTTGGCAAGAGTGATTCTGCGTTGGATTTCAATGCTGTCATTATTATCGGTGTTAATGCTGGTTGCCAAGTAAACCAAATTCTACACTTTCTCGAAAATGTAACTGTCAACAGTGACGTGGGTGCCAAGGCGAGAATGTGCTGACTGTTTGTTTGATGACAGGAGATACTTCGTCTTCTGCTCGTTTACCACCAGACCCATTCGCTTTGCTTCCCTATCCAACTTGGAAAAGGCAGAACAGACTTCGCGGTTTTTGTTACCGATGATGTCGATGTCATCGGCATAAGCCAGCAATTGCACGCTCTTGTAGTAAATTGTTCCTGAGCGGTTTAGTTCTGCAGCTCTTATTATCTTCTCCAACATCAGATTAAAGAAGTCACATGAAACCCCGTTTGGTGGCGAACGGCTCGGAGAGGTCTTTTCCAATTCTGGCGGAGCTGGTGGTATTCCTCAACGTCATTTTACAAAACCGTATGAGTTTTGAGGGGATGCCAAATTCAGACATAGCGGCGTATAGGCAATTTCTTTTAGTGCTGTCAAAAGCGGCTTTAATGTCGAGAAATAGGTGGTGAGTGTCGATCCTTTTCTCGCGGGTCTTTACCAAGATTTGGCGTATTGTGAATACCTGGTCTATGGTGGATTTGCCAATTCTAAAGTCACACTGATAAGGCCCAATCAGTTCATTGACGGTGGGCTTCAGTCTTTCACACAATACGCTCGATAAGACCTTGTAACCTATGCTTAGAAGGCTGATCCCGCGGTAGTTGGAGCGAATGGCGGGGTCACCTTTCTTGTGGAATGGGCAGAGCACACTTAAATTCCAGTCGTCGGGTATGCGTTCATTTGACCATATTCTGCACAGGAGTTGATGCATGCACCTTATCTACTCCTCGGCGCCGTACTTGAATAGCTCAGCTGGCAGGCTGTCAGCTCCAGCATCTTTGTTGTTTTTCAGCCGTGTTATTGCTATACGTACCTCGTCATAGTCAGGCGGTGGAACGTCGACTCCGTCATCATCGACTGCGGGCTCGGGTTCTTCTTCTCCACTAATTTCCGTGCTGCTACCATTTTTGTGCCTTGGTTTGTATATAATATTGCTGCGGCTATATCAGTGCTCAAT